GAATCAGAAACAGGCTCCAGGCTCTGAGCCATCAGCCCAGAGCCCGACGCGGGGCTCGAACTCACGGACCGCGAGATCGTGACCTGGCTGAGGTCGGACGCTTAACCGACTGCGCCACCCAGGCGCCCCAAATGGCAGCTTTTCAAGAGCAGGGTTAGGGAAAGTTGGGATCTAAATTGGGAGAAAAATTCATTGATTTTTTCAGCAGAAATTGGAGAAACAGATGCAGGACACAGCATGACCTCAACATATCCCATATGCAGGTATGTATCCACAACAGGGAAATAGTCCAATGAGACAGATTAAGGGACCTTAGCGCAATGTTAATGAGAGGGTGAGGCACACTACTGGTAAATGAATGGCCGATGCTGCCCTGCTGGAAAATGCAGAAGGCAGGATGGAAGAGCTATCCTCTCGGAATGTGTAAGTTCCCTTGAAGGTCCATGAGCTTCTGAGCACTAAGAATGAATGAGATAGCAGGAGAAGGGTGTACAAATCCAGGCTCTAGGAAGCTGAGTTCCTTTCCAGCTCCTTGGCTTCTCATTCTCTCTCACCAATCATGGCCACGAAGGAGAAGGAGATAAATAAAGGTTGTCTGTTTCCATCTCCAGTCTGTTTCATGACTTTAGCCTTGATAGGGAAGGAAAAGTTTCATGGTTACAGTGGATTGTGCTATAACCCACAGTGCAATTGGGATCAATATTCTGAGAATCTCAAAGCCTCTGGAGCTGGTTCAGAGGTAATGGAGGTCCAGACCTGCTCCTGGGGAGAGCTAGGGGCATCTCTTGAGTGAAGTTCAGGAGATGGGCTGGAAGGCGACTGGGGAAGACTCAGGCCCTGGGTGCCTGGCTGGGTCCTGGAAGTCCTTGTCACACACCACTTCCTGTGCTCCCTGAGCCTCTGAAGATTCCTGGTCACGTTTAAAGTTGGGGTTCCTGAGTGAAGTAGCAGTCAAGGTGAGACTGCTCTGAGCCGAGCAGTCCCTGCATTCACAGGGAATGTGGCAAAGGCTTTGGGAACTTGGCAAAGGCAACTGTTTTCAAAGTTGTAATCCCATGTGAATACACTGAGGGTGACACAGGCTCATGAACTGGTTTTCTTTTTTTCTCTTTGCAATGAGGTGTTAATCTGCAAAGCCTTCTCTCAGTCAGCATTTGGTCATTTGTCTGCTGATGGCCTTCTGGATGTGTGACAGAGTTCTGGGATGTAGTGGGATTTCTGGTGACGGATATTGAAGATGGGCCAGAGGGATTCCACCCACCTCCAGGATTCGTGAGGTTCTGGATATACTTGCCCAACCCTCCCAGTGTCGACTCCTCAACCCCCAGTCATGGTGTGGAGGAGGGTGTCCACACTGTTTCTCACTTCCATGGGGAGGCTGCTTGTATTAGACTGAGGTCAGAGGTCCTGGGAAGTAGCTTTGACCTTCTACCTCCCTTCCTCTCTGCTGAGACTGTGTCCTAAGCTGAGGGATATGTCTTGGTAGATTCCAAGGGCTGCCTGTGGATGGAGTCATCGTCTCCCTGGCCACTGTCCCAGTTGGTTCATCCAGGTTTGGGGACTTTGTTCTCTTCTGTCATTGTCACACACCTGTACCTCTGGAGCTGGTTCCTGTACCTGAGCTGGGCTGCGAGTGGAATTGGTCTAGAATGACACTGGGGTTTCCAGAGTCACATGGTCAACCAGCTTTCAGTGAAACAATTCCTAAATAATGCTGAAATCCCAGATCTGTAGATTTGACTAAACAAGTACATATTTTGAAGGTGTTGTTAAAGTTTGTGTATAGGCTCTGCATTTGGCCAGACTTTCCTCTAATTGGGTTATAAAACTCCCCCACGATTGGTCAAGAATGGATGGACCCAGGGAGATCTCTTGTGGTTTTAAAAATCACAGAGGAGAGCTTCGGTCTCACCCTCTGGGTGAATTGGCCAGTCCACAACGACTGTAGTTAATTCAAGGTTTTAAGACTTGGAGTACATCTCTGTAATCACAGAGGCCCCTAACTAGTGTTGTATTTTGTCCTGGGGAGAGTGTGTGCCAGAGACCTTGGAGCATTGTTGGGCCCTATGCCCCCATCTAAAAATGAAAGTTTGGGGCATTTTCACAAATGTACACCCCTGATCACAGAATTATTTTTTCCTTGCTGAGGTTTTCAGGTGTGCAAAGTGCACCAACACCAGCCTGTACATAAATGTGAAATTAACTGATGGTTCTTCACTTTGGAATTAAAATAGTTGTGGCCTCAAGGGCTTCTTCCCATGGACACCAGCAGTAGCATCCCCTGGGCTTTTAGTCACAATGAGGTTGTAGATTAGAACTACCTGGAGAGGCTTTCCCAGTGCTGGTGAGTGTCCTTCAGTGAATCTGATGTGATGATTCAGGCAGGGCCCAAATAGCCATTCTGAAGGACCCATATGATTCTAATGTGCACTCTGGGTTGAGAAGCTCAGCCTCAAGAGGCTCCAATCAGCCTTGTTACTTTTTTTTCTCCTTGAGCGACTGAAGCACTTTATAAATATCAGAGCACCTCGGGAAGAGGACAGGGCCAGGCCCAGAATTCTTCCTGAGGTTGACTTGAAATGCATGACTGCATTTCATGAAGTGACTTTTCAAATGTTTGTAGGCTGTCTGTCTTCTTGAGGACAAGTGAAGAAATGCTCTCGTTCCACCTTAAAGTTTATGGCAAATCCTCACTGTAAGGGAAATGGTTTCCCCTTTTAGTGTAAAACAGTATTTTCGGCAAAAGTATAAGAATTTCAGTTAAACGTGTTTAAGCAGAAGGTATTTAAGTTTTTGGCTGAATACTCAAATACAAGGGGCACTGTATTAGTATCTTACAGGCAAAGTACTAGACATGAATGAAAATATTAGGTTTTCCTGGAGGAAGGTCTTCATGGGTCAGAACTGGGGGTGAACTGAGCCCAGAACAGTGGCTGTAGTGTCACGGAAGTGACTTGGAGGCATTTGAGGAGACAGAGTCACTGTATATTCCTGGAAGGCAGGAGGCAAATGGTATTGTAAGACTGTCAGGGGAAAAGAAACTGGAGCAGAGGGAGAAACTGAGGAATTTGCTAGTCACTTTTAAACCCAAGTGCGTGAGCAGTGCCTGAGTGTAGGTGAGGTGGAGCTGTGGACAGGGGTCTCAGACACCAGGACCAAGTCTGTGCTCAGGGCTCCGAACCTCAGCCTGACCCTATTCTAGAGGAGCCTTGCCTCTCCCACTGTAGACCCTCCAGCTTTTGGTGTCTCTGGTGCCCCTGTGGTGGCTGGCACCTACTACAGGTCTCAGTGGAAAGGGTGGGGATAATGCGGCTCTTACTATTGGGTCATCCAGGTCTGAATGTGGTTCAGAGCAGCATCACATTTACTGGTGACTTAACTGATGCTACATAAACCCCAAGGGCAGCAAGCTGTCTTTTGAGGCCTCTGGGTGGATGGGTAGGTGGGTGGGGGTATCCACCTGTCAGCCTTCTTACAGTCACTCCCAGTACCGAGAAGGGACCCTGGGTCCTGTTGTACCTGTGGCAGCTGCCTTCTGTGCCCTGTGACTTGGAGACTCTTTGAAAGGCCTCCCAGGGTGAGCACATAGAATCTAGGTCTAACTAGGTTCAGGTACCTTGTCTACGTCCACAGACCTGCCCTGGGGAAGGGGCTCCCAGACAGGGTGACTGCATTTAAAGCCAGCAGATGTGTCTGCATCCACCCCTGTCTCTGGCTAACCTACGGGTGCATTGCCCACCCCCTGGTCCTAGCAGAGTCCCTTTGTCTGGGCTTTGACACCCAAAATAGAGGGTCTGGGTACCCTGGAATGTTCATTTTTGGGTGCCTGGCCACTCACCAGCGCCCTGTTGTGACCATGAAGTCAGATCCATTTTCACAAAGTTCATATTCTGAGCAGGAAGACCATATTTGTCCATGGATGGAATCTGAATGGTTTGGACTGAACTTATTAGTAATAGGATAGTGAAGTGTTGTGTGTAATGATTTTGAAGATAAGGACTAGAGTAGTTGAGCTACTCTAACAGGAGGAAAGTTTAACAGGAGGAAAGTTCACTTACTCTTCTTGTGAGGCATGTGGAGAAATGGCTGTCATACCATGTGAACTCAACATACATGCACGGATGTATGCATGACAGAAATAATCTGAGACTGGGCTGCAGCTGCTTCAGTAGTCAATGTAGTAGGATGATGAGGCCCAGAATTTAAGTGAAAGGTCAAGGCTGCCCTCCTAGAAATAGCTGAATGCAGGATTGAAAGTCTGTTCTCTTATGTACAAGGTGCCCCATGAAGGTCAATGAGCCTGTGAACATGAAGAATGAATGACCTCCCCCCTTCTCCACCTGCTATATGAATATTCAGGCTTCAGGAAGCTCAACCCCTCCTAACTCCTGGCTTCCATGTCTCTCCTCCAACCCTGGTTACAGGGAGAAAGGGATGGAGGTTTTCTGTTTCCATTCCAAGTTTATTCATGACCTTGGCCTTGGAAGAGGTAGGGTTCCTGGGTAAAGGGACCATGCCAATACCTTGTCTGCCCAATGGAGACAAGATTAATGTTCCAGAGAATCTCCAAGTCTCCATATCTGGCTCAGTGTGAGGAGAATATGGGTCCTGTACCCCAGGAGAGCTGCGACCTTCTCTTGGGTAAAATTGAAGAGATGGGCTTGAAGGTGATGGAGGAAGACTCAGGCCCTGGGTGCCTAGCTGGGTCCTGAAGGTCCTCACCACACATCTTACTGGGCTGCCTGAGCCTCTCAGGGGCCCTGGTCATGTTGAAAGTTCAAGGTCCTGTGCGATGTAGCAGTCAAGGTCAGACTGCCCTCAGCCAGAGCAGCCCTTGCATTAACTGGGCCTACAGTTCATGAATGTGACCCATCCCACTGGCTTTAGGGTCTTAGCAATGACAGCTGGTTCCAAAGTTGGAATTCCACGTGGATATATGGCAGGCAATAGACTCTCATGACCTTGTTTTCCACTTGACCCTCAGGTGTGTCCTGTCCAACCTTCTCTCAGGCAGTGTTCATGGAATAGACTGCTGCTGGCCTTCCTGGTGTGACAGAGCTCTGGGAGATACTGGGATTTCTGAGGTTTGACCTTGAACATGGGTGAGAGAGAGTTCACTTGCCTCTTTGCCTTCCTCAGGTTCTGGGTCCACTTGCTACATCTGCAAGCCCAAGTCACCCAGTGTCTGCTCATCGGTACCCTGTTGCTACAGGGGAAATTTCCAGGCTCCTCTACACTTTCCCCAGGGATGCTGCTTGTGTGGGGCTGAGTTCAAGGTTCCAGAGTGTACCCTTAGCCATCATCCTCCCTTTCCCTCTGCTGAGAGCTTCCTCTGGATCTCAGGGATGTTTCCTGGTAGATTTTCACTGCTGCCTGTGAATGGAGTCAGGCCCCACTAGGCCACTGTCCTTGCCCATTACCTCCAGGATTGGGGCCTTTGTTGTCCTTCTGCCAGTCCTTGCACATCTGCTCCTTAGCTGTCTTTGACAGGAAAACTGGGAGAGGATGTACTGTGAACCCAAGGGAAGATGGAAATCTCCAGTCACATGTTGAAACTTCTTTCAGTGAAATCTTTGACACCAAGGGTTGGATATTCCATGCCTATAAATTGAACTTAAGGATAAATTTGAAAGTCCTAAAGTTTGTTTATATCCTTTTGGCCAAAGGAGTATCCCATTTTCTCTAATAGGGATAGAAAGCTCACCCAGGATTGGCCTAGCATAGGTATTCCTGTTGAGATCATGGTAGTAGAACAGTGTGGTAATGATCAGGCCTTTACTGCTGGTATCAGAGGATCACCCACATAGACCACATTTGGGGAGAGATGCACAGTGCTCCTCAAATGGAAGTGGGTCATGGTCCAGGACTAGAGCTGTACCCTGAGATGGGTGGTAGCTTCCTTTGCACAGGAAAGACCCAAGTAGTGAGAAAGGCACATGGATTGCTCTTGAGGGCATGCCCACCTTCTCCCTGAACCTTTGCTTAAGGCCTGGCCACTCCCATGGGCCACGTCGCTGAACAAGTCCAGAGGAAAAGTCCTTCAAGATCAATGGTTTATGGCAGGCTGAGACATTTCATGAAACTAAGTTATTAAAAACAAAAAACTTTCTATACATATTCACAACACCCTGCCCCCCAGAAGCCTTCTAGGAATTGTAGAGAAAACATTGGAACATATCCTTGTGTATATTAGCTTGAATTTAAAACCAGAGATAGACTTTTTTTATTTACTTTTGAGAGAGAGCATGAAAGGGGAAGGGGCAGAGAGAGAGAGAGAGAGAGGGAGAGACAGAATCTGAAGTAGATTCCAGGCTCTGAGCTCTCAGCACAGAGCCTGAAGCGGGGGTTGAACTCACGAGCCATGAAATCATGGCCTGGGCTGAAGTCAGACGCTCAACTGACTGAGCCACCCAGGTGCCCCAGAGATAAACATTTTTGCATTTGTGACTTGAACCTCATCAGCTTCCATTTTCTTCCTCTTCCTTAGTCCTCTTCTACAAGTGACCAACTTAGCCTTGTCTGTGCTTCCTGCAGTGTGCCTGGTTCTCTATTCTCCAGGCATCTTGATGCAATAATGGCTTGCAGCCCTGGGCAAAGCTCTGGTCACAGACTGGATGTGTTTTCCTCTGGGTATCAAAGTCTCAGTGAACTAAAAGGCCTTTCTTGTGCCCTGGCGCATCTGCTTTAATCCACACTCCACATCACTGTGCACAGCCCCATCCTTCTTCCTGTCTGGGTACCACACTAAGTGTTCCTCACGCTAGAGAAATCTCCCAGCTGCCTCTTTGTCCTCTGGTTCCAGAATCTGTGCCTTCTGTTGGTGGAACCTGGTCAGGAGTTTGCCGTGTGTAATCTGAAATGAGTCTTTATATGTGGAGGGCAGGGAGAGATTGAAGAATGAGCAGGTGACTCCAGATGGTGGGGGACAGGCTTAATAAGCAATAGAATATCTATAGTAGGCTTGTGTCTGGTGGCCACAAGACGAGATCTCTGCTTAGGCCCACCAAATCGTAAAAGTATACATAGGGGCCTAACTGGTTTCAGGCACGCATACCATCCTGATCATCTCAAGAAGCCTTTGTTCTCTCCAGAATATGTGTTCAGAACAGCCCCCAGAGTTGGGACACTTTGCAGGCATCCATACCAAGGATCTGGGTGGGTGGGTGGGGGGGGGAGGCTGCAACTACCTAGGGCCTGTTGGAGGGCCAACTGGAGGCCACTCCTCTTACCACCTCCAACACCTTTCCAACCTGCAGGCCCAGGGAACTCTTCTTGGATGAAGAAACTCTTCCCCTCTCCATGGGCTCCCTGTTCACTTTGTGCTTCTCAAAGGCGCTGTGCCACCTGTTTCCTCTTCTCTCTTGTGCAGTTAGGTGTAGGTGTACCTCCCTTTCCTGACACCTGTCCTATTCCTTGTCCTGTGGTGTACCAGTTGTGGAGGGCACACCATCTTGAATGACTTGCAAAATAATGTGTCAGCTTCAGAAGGTTGTTTCTTGGCCAGCTCATCTTTGCCCTTTTTCATGAATTTCTTGCAGCTGGGAACTGCCTCAGGCAGCAGAGGGTGTGGGTGAGCTTGCTGGTGACAGTACCACTTGTGTTGAGTGGTGAGGGGCCTCTATGGTGGGACAATTGACCTTGCTGTGGGTGGGGGCAGTGGGGATGTCTGTGAACACCCTTTTCCTCCTGGTCCATCATGTGGCCTGGCAGCACCAGCTCATTCCTGTTTTGAGTGCATTTGCTTCAGTGGATTTTTCCTTAAGTTCTTCCTGCACTTTGACATTATTGGAAGTCCTAGATCAGACCATCTGAAGCAAAGCAAAATACAGTGTTTTCAAAAAACAAAAAGGTGAAATAATCTGATTCACAGTATAACTTTACCACTGAACAAAGCCAATGTTAAAGGCAATAAAATATCCAAATGCCAACAAGCAAAAGGCCAGAAGCTGACTTGTATCTAAAATTGGCAGGCACACAACCCATGACAAGCCAACAGTGGGAAATGACAGTGTGTGGAATCAGTAGGGAAGGACTTGAAAGCATCTCTGGTAAATAGACTGCTGTGATCAAGCATCCACAGAGTATGAGCACAGGAGGTAGGACAAGAACATCATCAAGATATAAATGGAATATTGGAGATGCAGAATAGAGTGAGGGAGCCCACAGATCACAGCAGGCCCACAGTCCCCTTAACATCAGGAATGTTGCAGGACCAGCCCAGGAAGGTGTCAGGAGCAGCATGTAGCAGCTTTGTGTGCTGGGGCCTCACTGCTGAGAGTCTGTCTCCAGCTCTGAGAAGTGCAGCTGGGTCAAGGTGGCTAACACCTGCTCTGCCAATGAGGGTAGTAATAGCACCACCCACCAGGCATGTCTTGAAGATCAAATGCATCCATATTTGTAAGGTACAGAGAACTGTGCATGGCACATATTTCTCAGATGGGAAATGCCGGTGTAATGAAAAGATCTACTTCCCATTAACCCACAGGAAGCTACCTTCCTAGATGTGCCTCCTTTTGCCCTCTTGGGTTTTCCCTGCGATCCATCTCTCAGCAGCAATGAGGCTGCATCCAGGACTCGCAGAGCTGGCACACACTTCTGTTTTGCTTGAAGTTTGGGAGTCAGGCAGTCCCAAATGTAGAAATGTGTTTGCTGTGCTCGTAGTCTGGCTGTCTCTGATGCAAATGGAGGTCTAGCCATTCCTGAAGGGCTTGGAAGTGATTTAGTTAGACCCATTCTGCACACAGAGTTGCCAGGCAGCTCCCAGTAGGATGATTCCCACCAGACGATGGGAACCACTAGATGATTGCATCCAGCACTGGGAGTGAGCCCTGGGCATCAAGACCTCAGTTCCAGGGAGGAGATCTGAGATGAGACTCAGCACTCCCATGTACCCTGACCTGGTATCATCTTATGATCCCCTGAGTCCTGGCATCTTGCACTGCAAAGGGGGAGGACTATCTCACCCACCATCATGTCAACCCATGAATCCAGTGGTTCACTTAAGGGCTTGGGACACAAACTAAACCTGGGGAAGACACAAGAAATGGGTATGAACATACCATGGACAGCTGAGAGTGCAGGGATCCCATTGCAAACCTTAAGGTGTTCAAAAAAATCACATTCCAGGGAGCCCACAGCATCTCTTCATAGGGAGCAATTCCCGAATTCCCTTCATCCCTCACCCACAGCTTCAACTTAAGCAGAAATCTTTAAATCCACCATCACGCATATGGGGCATGAACTATATATTTTCAAGTAGAAGTAAATAGTCCAGGCATGAAAGGTCACATGGAAAACAGCCATAGCATTCTGATGTAGACCCTACTTACACTGTCCTTGGTGTGTAGACCAAACCTGTTGGGTCAGGACAGTGGTTTCTTCCTCCATGTCTACCTGATCAGATCAGGCTAATTTTTCTCCACTATCCATGCTCCAGCCACATTTCTCTTCACCATCCCAAGTACCTGGAACATGACTTTGCCTCTGGGGCTGTGCTCCTTCTGTGTTAGTTGCACATCACCCACTGGTGCTATTCATCTAGCTGGATCCAACTCCTGGCTGTGGAGTCAGTCACCTTGGGTGTAAAGGCCTTCCCAGGAGTGACCCCCTCTCTAGTCTGTGCTTGACTTCACCCAACACTTGGCAAATTCCCGTGTAAGTCCTTGGTCAAGTCCCCTTCCCTGCCTGTTGTCTGAGGTCAGTCCGCGCACCGATCATGTGTGCAAGTGAATTCAGCTACAGACTACTTCCCAGTCCTGAAACAACAGTGGATTCCTCTTTTCAAAGAACATTGCCAGTGTTTGGCCCTCAACCCAAATGTACTGAAGTCTCAAGGATTGGTCTTCTTCCGCCTTCTTCCGCCTTCTTCCGCCTTCTTCCGCCTTCTTC